TCAGCTGGGCACTGTTCTATAGATTTTAAATATATTAAATCACTTAATCGTCACAACAATCCTATGAAATGGTTAATATTATTGTCCTCATTTTACAGACAAGGAGACCAAGGCATAGAGCAATTAAACACTTTACCCAAGATTACACGGCTAGTAAGTGGCAGAGCAACATTTGAACCCTGGCAATCTGGCTCCAGCATCAATGCTCTTAACTGCCATGCTATGCTGTCTTGCCTCTCCATATTTATGGAACTCTCAGATTGGAAAATCCTGTGTGGTCAGCATACTGATAAAAAAATAAAGAACATCTGTTCCAAATGTTAACTGGTGTGTAAATGAATTATTGCACTATTCTTGCAACTTTAAGTTTAAAAATTTTCTAAATTAAAAGTTAAAAGTTGCTTTTATCATCATAGAATGGGACATGTTTTGTGAAAGTAATGACCATATTACCTGTTGGCCAGCAAAGGCAGCTTTTAAAAAAGAAAACTCTGAACCCTTATAATGTCCCCACTACATGCCTGATCTAAATTGGCCATATCATTTAAGTCAGACTGAAGGGCTCACTGGAGCAGAAGTGGCCCTAAAAATGGGGAACACTGTCCCTGAACCAGAATAGTAAATGTTGGCCCTGTTTTCAATGCTTAATATTTTATAATCAACAACATGCAATTCGAAGTAAAATTAGAGAGAAAAATTTCTTCCAAAAATACATTATACAATATAACGAAATACAAATCAATCCATACTTATTTCCCCTTGTTAGTTCTAACCAGAACAGTTGTTTTTCCATCCTAATAATCTCCCTGCCAGGCTACCTCAATGCTCTCTATTGGAAACCTTGAAGGCAGCTGCATTTAGGCAGAGCAATCCCTATTTCAGCTTCTCAGGCACTTAATCCCTTTTGAGAGGAAAGAGAACATGAAATCACACACTGATTACCTAAGATTCATTCCTTTAGGCAAGTTTCTTGTTACTATTATTTTTTTAAATCCTCACCTGAGGATATTTTTCCATTTACCTACAGATAGTGATACACCAACTGGTTGCCTCCCACAGGACCTGGACCAGGGCCGAGGACCAAACCGCAACCAAGGTATGTGCCCTTGACCAGAATCAAACCCAAGACTCTTTGGTCCAAGGGCCAATGCTCTAACTACTGAGAAAAACGGCCAGGAGTTACTATTCTAAATTATCCATGAAAATTTGAGTTCTTAAACTCATAAACTGCCCAATACACACACGTGAACAAAATCTCCTGGAGGAAGCAGTGATATCCAGTGATATCAGAACACACTTTCATTGAAACACTGATGTTCAAACTATCATCGCAAGCTTTTTATGTTTTTATTAACAAGTATACAAACCACTCACTTCTGCCAAAAGCAATACTTCCCTGGTGCCACCCTAATATGTTTAAGGTAACCAGTTCTTCTTCTCTAGAAATGGCTACATTAAGATTTCTGTGGTTGAAGTTAAAGTTGACTCCATTATGAAATGAACTGAAATGACCCTTATTTTTTTATACTATTCTTTGGACTGCTAGCCCAGAAAGGAAACACGTTATTAAAGAAAAATTAAAATTTTAAATCTTCAATATTTTCAGAAACTTGACTTAAAAATGGAATGTGGGAGATGCGTCAAAGGTTGAAACTACAGAATACAGTAAAAGTTTCAAAATTACATTGCAATTTTATTAATCTAGGTGGTATTGCTTCCTATCTCAATTTCCTTTCAGCCTTCCCCACAAAGGTCCCTCACTCATTCCATCAAGTACCTTATTTAACCAAAGATTACTGAGCACCTCCATATATATCAGACACTAAGGTAGTTGGAAAGAGAATATAGAGATAAGACAGTACCTACACTCAAGCAGCTCACACTCTGGAGGGAAAGACAAAAATAAATAGACAATTTCAATACAGTGTGATAAACATTCTAACTACCCGCTATAAGCCTCTGCCCTGCAAATGGGCAATATCATTCCAAACCAAGTGCCTGAAAATTCTCTGGAAAAAATTTCACTGATAGTCAAAGGAAGTTTGAGGCATTTCCAGTAAGTTTAAGAAATTGGGGCAGCAATGGTGTGCATATGGAAAGATCCCTGTTCTAAAGATTGAAATAATACCCATTCTAGCATACCCAGCTCCACCATGGCTTTATGGAAAACGGATTTTTTTACATAGGTTATTCCAACGGGGAGGGGGTTGGAAATCTAAGTGAGGGCTGACCAACCCTCTGCAAGATGAAACACCCTTGCCTCTAGCAATGGCTTATTTTAGTTCTGGCTCTTTTTTCTATTCTCTCTGGAGAATGGCAGTATTAGTGGTTAAGTCTGTGGATTTGGTACATACTCAGACCAGGGTTCAATACTGGCCTTGGCCTCTTATGGGCAGTGATATTTTCAGCAAACCTCAGCTTCTGAGGCTCAAATTCCTTAAAAACAAACAAACAAACAAACCAAAAAAAAAAACTTGTGGGAAATTAAGTAGTTTATGCAAAATGCTTAGCATACTGAGAAAAAAGGGAGAGGGGCTGGCAGTTGGTAACGGGACCATCAGGTAGCAAAATAGAAAGCAATAAATTATACAGAGCTAATCATTTTTGTTATTCCAACTGAATAGTGATCTATGCTTAATATATTTGCACCCATCCCTAGAGAGCAACTACCTCATAAACCTAAGGATGAATTGCAATTACTAGGAGCTTTTCTTTCCCTTTTTTTTTCTTTTTTTTTTAAGATTTCCAATAGTCCCAATTTTTATACTAGCTGAAAGAGCATGTTCTAGCCCCTCTGACTCTCCATAATTGGAACCCTAAGAAAGGCACTACAACTCTAACCACCCACAAGAGACCCCCACCTGGAACACAGACCATACCTTAGTCATATAACAAAGAAACCAACAGTGTATAGGAGTCAAACAAGAAAGAAAAATGTGCACAACTCATACTTACTTGTCATTTTTTTATCCCAAAATCAAAATGAGGAGCAAAACAAAAATTTAAAGATTTACTGATTCACACCCCTTATTATATTTCCTGAGAGAACTAGTAGAGGTGGGGTAAAAGACAATCTTCCATTTTATCATCCAAAAAGCTCTTAGTACATACCAGTCAAAACAATGCCTCAGTTCGTAGAAATAGTCCTGGACGATAGTTAACTAAGATGTTCACTGCTGCTACACAAAGCCCAGTATTTAAAGCTGGACCCAAATCACCACCATTCAGTCATCCAGAACCTATTTTCAAACTGCCTTTGTACTCCTTCTTCAGATTCCCTCATCCCTCCCCCTAAAGGTTGAGTGGGAAACCGACACTCTGGCAGCAACATGACCAACCCTTCAAAGATCCACCAAGAAACCTCCCTAGGTTGGAGTCAAGACAGAGAACATTTTAAAGAAAAACTGGAAAATATTAAATAAGAACTACAGCCCAACAGACTATACAAGTTGTCTTTTTTCTTTCTTTTTAATTGCACTTGCTATGAGATCCAGATATTAAAAATCTTACTGTAGCCCTTGCACAGATGTTATTAAAAGGAGGAACAAAGTTATTTCCTTCCTATGAAGCCACAACCTCATAAGTATAAAAATCATCTTACAAGAAATACTCTCAGTTCTAGAAAAGAAATACAAGGAAGTAGTCTAGTCTAAAAGAATTGGGGGGGGGGCCACAAAAATCAGAGATTATAGACACATATCAGTTTAAAGCTAATGAACAGTTTACATATTACGGCCCATCTTGTTACAATTAGGGCAGTATCTAATCCAGCTATAATTTTCAGACTGATTCTCATTTTCAAAGGGAGAAGGAAGAGAACACTCGGTTTTCAGCTACTGATGAGTTGGCTATATAATTATCTAGAATCAGTATTTTTGCAAGAACATATTTGCAAAAACAAAACAAATATTAAGATTAAATGTAAGATATGAAAGCACAGTCATGGGCCTTCGTCTCTTTCGGATTTCTGATTTCACAGCAAACAAAAACTCACCTTCAAAAAAGAACTTTCAATGTGGTTTAAAATTAGAATTCCCCTTGTGCTTCTATAAATACTAAAGTTTGTATGAGTGTTTTTTTATTTAATCCATGGCCCTTTAAGAGAGCACAAAGCTGAAAATATTTTCAGGTGTGTTGCCACTTTACTCAGTTAACTAAAAAGCATGATTAGAATTTCCTTATCCCTTTCAGCACACAAACCAAATGTTATAGTATTTATAGACTGAACATACAACACCTCCACAAATCTTTGCTATCAAATGAAGTTTTAGAAGAAATGGGGATTACAATTCAGTTAACATCATGGTCCAACCCATCTGTTTTCTTTTATAAGGCAAATCAGGGAGGCAACGTCTAGCAGGAGAATGAGGCTCCCACCCACCACACCTGGAAAGTAAAAGAGGGATCCACCCAGGAATAGCAGAGCTGAAACCGATCTGGGCCGTTCAAACTCTCTGGGGAGGAAAAACACCACTGTTTAAGCTGCAAAGCTCCCTGCAACTTTCTACTTCCACAAATCTAATGATAAAAGGGGGAATAAAGTTTTGAAACATATGAAGAACCATATGTATAACCAGCTTCCGACTGGGACAAATTCCTTTCCCAACCCAACCGCAAAATGCCAAAAAAAAACAAAACAACCTTTGGTTTGGGCTCTGAAAACACAAGTTTGTTAGCTTAGTCCAGAAAAATATATAAAATCAAAGAACACACCAAAATGTAAATTTATGGAATTGCTCTCACCCTTCTGAATCTATTCATCTCCCTCTACTACAGAGACCTAGAAGTTTGTTTCTGGGTCTTGAATATTTTACCTTTTTTAATGTAATAAAATACCCCAAAGTAAGTAGAAAGAAAAATTATTAATTGCTTAAAAGTCACCCATCAACATAGCAGACTCTCTAGTTTTTAAATTCCCTCTGGTTACCGTAAGACAAAAATTCGACTTGGGTTATCCTCCTTTACCCGTCTGAATACACATTTTTTAAAAAGGCACACACCTCAAATGTGGACTTCTATAAACCAGTCCTTTAAGAAAGAAACCCAAGGCTTCGTCAATGTGTTGAGACAGATAAATCCAGCAAGGTAGTTGATTTTTTCGCCACCTCTTCCTCCTTTCAGGATCTTTCCTGGTCTTCTGTCTCTCTCCCTCTTTTTTTTCTCTCAGATCCAGCACCTAAAATGGAAGTTGCACCCAGCCAAAGGCTAGGGAGCCTGGGTGGTGACAAACTGATCTGGCAGCCCTACCCCCTCGCTTTCCTAAGTGATGTCAGCCCCTGAGAACTTCCAATAGGAGCCAGGCATAAATCAGGGAGCAGATTTTATCCAATAGGAAACTTTATTATAGGAAATTAAAAAAAAAAGAAAAGGAGAGAGAGGAGGAGAGAGACAGGGAAGTTTTATATATATATTTATATTTAAAGTGGAGACCGTACAATCTCTCAGGAATTACCGCAGAGCTCCGGGGGCCCGAAGGAACAGGGCTTTTTCGAATGGCATGCCTAAGAGTGGGTTCTCTGATGGTGGGGTTCTTGCTCCCTCTCCCTTGCTTTCTGGGTGGGGAAAGAGAAAGGGGCTGATTTTATTTGCCTGCTGCTATTAGATTTATTGCTTTCTACCCCAAAGCATTTTCCCAAAGAAAGACAGGGAGGGAGAGAGAAATCCAAAAATAGGACTATAAATGTGTTGATTGGGATGATAGAGGATATCTGAGATAAACTCTGAGTTTCATTGTTTTGGTTTAACTGCATTAGAGCCAATTAGAAAAAATAAATGCCTGGACTTAACAATTCTTAGTGTCTATACTTTCAACTAGAAGGAAACTGAATCCACTGGGCTGTTGAGGAAAATCACTGTCTTCCCATTTGTCCCCAAATTAAAATAATGTGGTTTTGAGGGGCAGAACATATGGAATCCAATAAACAAGCAATATATTTATAAGAGATAGCATGTGTAAGAAAAAGTAATTCTCACATCAAGAAAATTAGCTTTGTGAACTTCAAGCTTAAGATGATCTAGCTCATAAACCCTCTTTTTACACTTGTCCTAAAAAATAATAATAATAATAATCCCTGTTAGCTCAGCAGTTAGAACATCAGCCCGAGGACCAAAGAGTTCCGGGTTCGGTTCCAATTAAGGGCACGTACCTTGGTTGCAGTTCATCCCCGACCCCTGTTGGGGTCGTGTGGGTGGCAACCAGTCGATGTGTCTCTCTCACATTGATGTTTCTCTCTCTCTCTCTCTCTCTCTTTCTTTCCCCCCCCCCCCCCCCCGCTCTATCTAAAGATAAATGCAAAAATGCCCTCGGGTGAGGATAAAAAAAAAGATTATACAGGTATTCTTTTTCTAAATTAAGAGTTATCTTAATATGTTCTTAGGTTAGGCCATAAAGGACAGAGATTGGATTTTTTAAAAAATGCTTGACAAAGACTAGTATTTCATTGGTTACTAAACAAAGATGATGATGATAAACTGAAATTTTCCTTTTTCTATCTTACTGAAGAATCTAAGATCTATCCTGTAGACTGCTGCCAAATGAATCTTCATAAAGTTTTCAGACTACCTGGCTTCAAACCTTCTCAGTACACTTACTCAAGTAAATGTATGACAATGTGACCTTGGACAAATTATATCATCTCCAAGTGCCTCAGTTTCCTTAACTAGAAAAGAGAGATCAGCCCTGGCCGGTTTGGCTCAGCGGTTGGAGCATCGGAGAGTCCCGGGTTCAGTTCCCGCTAGGGGCACGTACCAAAAAAAGAGAGAGATCATAACTATGTCTCTGTCATAGGACTATTGAATTAAAATACACATAAAGTTCTTAAGGCAATGCATGGCATCATATAAACTCACTAAGAATGGGTTTTTATTATCAGTATCTACCCTGCCAAGAAACCTTCATTAGCTCACCATTGCCCAATAATAGCGACCAATGATGAAGAAGCACTTTGCACTCATGATCTGTAACTTCTAAAACGCCACAGTAGAGATACTATTACCACCATTTTACAGATGAGGAAATCAAGGCTCAGCAAGATTAAGAAACTTGCCTGAGCTCACCCAGCTAAGAAGTGAACCCCTCATCAGTCTGACTCCAAAGCCCATGCATGCTCTTCCCAACGCCTTACACTGTGAAAAAAGGCCAGTTCCTCATCTGCTTTAAAGGTGCCACACTTATTCATTTAAAACATTAAAGTAACACTTATTAACCCTAATCTGACCTTTCCTTATTATCTAAACTGGAATTCCAATTCCACTCCTCCTCAGCATGAATGTGCCCTTCTAATCAGGCTGATCTAGCCATTATTCACGCCCTCATGTTTGCTCTAAAGTGTCCAAAAAAGACTCCCTCAGAAGTGCTGGAAGACCAAACAGGCATCACAGCACTTGTTTCACAGGCTTTAAACAAACTAGAATGGGAAATGAATACATGTAACAGAAATGAACAGACTTTAACTCTCATTATCTAAGAATCATCTCCTGCCCGGCTGGTGTGGCTCACTCGTTGAGTGTCGACCCATGCACCAAGAGGTCAGCAGTTCAATTCCTGGTCAGGGCACATGCCCAGGTTGTAGGCCAGAACCTCAGTGTGGGGCATACAGGAGGTGGCCGATCAATGTTCTCTCTCATCGATGTTTCTATCTCTCTCTCCCTCTCCCTTCCTCTCTCCCTAAAAATCAATAAAGGGAAAAAATGTTTTTTAAATAATAAAAAGAATCATCTCCTATTACCTCATCACATCTTCTACCTCTACTTTCATCTATTCCTGCTCCTCCATAGCAAGTTCAAAAGCCAAAAATGATTGCCAAAGGAAAACAATCAACACAGAAATGTTTGTTGACTTCACTGGTTCCTAGTTCAGAGCCATACGCTAAATATCGTATACTTTTTAAGCCCAACTGGTGTGGTTCAGTGGATTGAGCATCATGGACTGAGAGGTCCCAGTTGGATTCCTGGTCAGGGTACATGCCTGGGTTTCAGACTCAATCCCCAGCAGGGGGCGTGCAGGAGGCAGCTGATGAATGTTTCTCACATAGATGTTTCTATCTAAAAAAAAATCAACAAAAACGTATTTAAATATTGTATGATTTTTCTAGAAGTGGATTGGTCTTATTTCCCTCACACCACCACTGACAACATGCAAGTGTTTTGCCTTCCATTGTGTGTAGGTGTGTGTGTTTTTTCTCCTGTCTCCCCCACCAGAAGATAAGTTCCATGAAGGCATGCACAGTGTCTTTCTAGTTCTGGTATATCCCAAAAGCTCAGCCTTATATCAACACATGGAGTGAATAAAGTCTCTTGGCTTACTAGTTATGTAATCCTGGACAAGTCATTCAACAGTAATGAATTTGTAGATTACATTCAAAATAAAATTATAGACAAATAAAAAGAGATAGTGGTGAAAAAGTTGTTAAATTTTAAAATCAGCCCTGGCCGGTTTGGCTCAGCGGTTAGAGCGTCGGCCTGCGGTCCAGAGAGACCCGGGTTCAGTTCCTGCTAAGGGCACATACCTCGGTTGCAGTTTGTCCCCGGCCCTGGTTGGTCGTGCGGGTGGCAGCCACTCAATGTGTCCCTTTCACATTGATGTTTCTCTCTCTCTTCCTCTCTCTCCCTCCCGCTCTGTCTGAACAAAAAATGGAAAAATGTCCTCAGGTGAGGATACAAAAAAAATAAAAATAAAAATAAAAAAATAAAATCATCTGAAACAGCTATCTTCAAATAAAGCATCTCAAGGATTAGTATGCACTAGGGAAAAACTGTTTACACTCAATTAATAAAAAATAGAAAGGCTAGTAATACTTGGGTTATTTTAAGCACCTACTGTGAGCCAGTAAAGTGTCAAGAATAATGAGATAGTCCAAGAATAATGAGGTTTGACTCAGTGGTTAGAGCACCAGCCTGCAGTCCAGAGAGACTCAGGTTCGGTTCCCGCTAAGGGCATGTACCTTGGTTGCAGTTTGTCCCTGGCCCTGGTTGGGTCGTTCGGGAGGCAGCCACTCGATGTGTCCCTTTCACATCGATGTTTCTCTCTCTCTCTTCCTCTCTCTCCCTCCCACTCTATCTGAACAAAAAATGGAAAGATGTCCTCGGGTAAGGATTAAAAAAAAAAAAAGAAGAATGAGTTAGACACGTTTCCTGTTCTCAAAAAGCTTACATTCTAGCAAGGGGAGGATTTATAAATAAGATGTCCGATGGAGGACTATGCAGAGATTTAAAACAGAGTGATGAGAATGACTTGTGATCTGTTTTAGATTGGATATTAGGGGAAAACTCCCTGTAGAAGTGACATTTAAGTTGAAATCTGAATGGTAACAAGCAGCCAACCATGAGAAGATATGAGCCATGGTAACTACTAATGCCAAAGCTCTCAAGTGTGGGGTTGAAACACACTGGATCCAGCAGAGCTGTTGCAAATGAGGAAGGAGGGATAGGCAGGAATCAGAATACAAAGGGTTCTAAGGTTAGAGAAAGGAGTCTGATTTTATTCTTAGGTAGGGGAAAGCCTGTGAGGGTTTTAAACAGCATAATGATGTGTTCTAACTCACATTTTTAAGAGATCAGGCTAACTATGGATTAAAGAAGGAAAAAAAGTGAAAGCGAGGAAATTTAGTTTGAAGGTCAAGTGATGGTGATAAACAGTTCACTACAGTGGTAGCAGTAAAAATGGAGAGAAGTCAATTAATTGCGGACAGTTTAGATTTGTGTTGTGTTTTTTGTTTGTTTGTTTGTTTGTTTGTAGGAATTTTGTCCTTCCTTCTTTCCTTTTTTTTTTTTATGCATGAAATATTATTCAGTGGTCAGTTTTACAACTCTAAGTTTAACTTTCCCACTCATATTCATCACAATTTACACACAAAGAAAAACAAGATAACATTAAATGGTGAAAGATTAGAGAAGACCTGGGAAATAATGTATTTATTTTATTTTATTTTTTAAATGTTTTCATTGATTTTTTTAGAGAAAGAGGAAGGGAGAGAGAGAGAGAGAGAGAGAAACATCAATGTGAGAGAGAAACATGGATCGACTGCCTCTAGCACACACACCCCCCACACACACTGGGATCAAGCCCACAACCTGGACAAGTGCCCTGACCGGGAACTGAACCAGGACCTCTCAGTTCCTGGAACAACCCTCAATCCACTGAGCCACACCAGCTGGGCAAAATAATATTATTTTTAAAAGAAACATTAGAACGGCCAGCATGACTCAGTGGATTAAGCATCGTCCTATGGACTGAGAGGTCCCAGTTCAATTCCTGGTCAGGGCACATGCCCAGGTTGAGGGCTCGATCTTTAGTGGGGGTCATGCTGGAGGCGGTAGATCAATGTTTCTCCCTCACATCGATGTTTCCCTCTCTCTCTCTCTCCCTTCCTTTCCCTCTAAAAAATCAATTAAAAAACATATTTAAAAAAATAAAATAAAAACGTCGTGCCATGGCCAGTTTGGCTCAGCAGTAGAGTGTCACCTGAGAACCAATGAATTGCGGGTTCGATTCAGGCCAAGGGTATGTACCTCAGTTGCGGTTCGTCTCTGGCCCTGGTCTGGGTCATGCAGGAGGCAACCAGTGATGTATTTCTCTGGCATCGATGTTTCTCTCTCTCCCCCTTGCTCTCCCTCTCTTTCACTCCCACTCTATCTGATGATAAATAGAAAAATATCCTCGGGTGAGGATTAAAGTTGTAAACACCTAATATTTTTTTAAAAAAAGAAGTATTAAATTCTTATATGGGGCAGAGTGCTGTGCTGTGATGACTCTACTTCTAAAACAGACTAAAAGTATAAATGTCAAGAAGAAATGAAAAAAAAATCAATTCCAAGAAAACACTGGCTATCTATACAGAGGAAAACAAAATATTGTTACCCCTTTCTACCCTCTTGTGGCTACACATTACCATCCAAAGTTTGACATTTTTGAAGCCCTAGTTAGAATGGCCATTTAACATTCTCTTTAGATATTCTATGAATACAAGATTTAACTAAAATGATATTGGATTTAAAAAATAAACAAGAAGTGAGTCCTCTCTACTAATCCTGATAACAATATATTCATGAGGGGATATAATATTTATATATTTGTTATAAAACTCCATAGAATTGCCCTGGCCAGTTTGGGTGTTAGAGTGTCGGCCTGCCTGCAGTCCAGAGAGACCCGGGTTCGGTTTCCACTAAGGGCACGTACCTCGGTTGCAGTTTGTCCCTGGCCCTGGTTGGGTTGTGCAGGTGGCAGCCACTTGATGTGTCACTTTCACGTCAATGTTTTTCTCTCTCTCTTCCTCTCTCTCCCCCCCACTCTATCTGAATAGAAAATGGAAAAATGTCCTCGGGTTTAAAAAAAAAAAAACTCCACAGAATCACCTATAAGTGTACTGGTACCCCACTGCCTAATCCCATCCTGATTCCACACTAACAGATGCCATAAACAAGAATTGTTCTGTATTGTCTTTGTGTGTATGTGTGTGTGTGCGTGCACGCACTTGTTTGCTTTTCTTGTGCAGAACAATATCTAAAATATGTCCTTCTGTTGTTTTATGTCCTTTCACAAATTGCTTCCTCTTCAAAATATGACAACTGCACCGGAAAATGTCTCCTGTTCTCCTTTCTTTTTCTTTCACTTTTTTTTGGGGGGGTACGTGCCCCTAGCAGGAACCGAACCCGGGACTCTCTGGTCCACAGGCTGATGCTCCAACTGCTGAGCAAAAGCGGCCAGGGCTCTCCTTTCTTTTTCTGTCATAAGAGCACAGGCCTTGCCCCGCCGGTGTGGCTCAGTGGTTGAGCGTCCACCCCTGCACCAAGAGGTCGCCAGTTCGATTCCCTCAGGGCACATGCCCAGGTTGTGGGCCCGATCCCCAGGGAGGGGCGTGCAGGAGGCGGCCAATCGATGTTCTCTCTCATCGATGTTTCTCTCTCTCTCTCCCTCTCCTGTCCTCTCTCTCTAAAATCAATCAAGGAAAAAAACTTTTTTTAATGTTTTTTAAAGGAGCACAGGCCTCAAACTAGGGAAAATATTTCCTGACTTGAAAATGCTCAACATCCCACCCGTAGTTCAATCAACTACCTCGAATCCTTTTTTGAGAAAGTATTAGATACCAATGAAGAGTATTGAAGCCCTGGCCGGTCTGGCTTGGCAGTTGACGTGAAGGCCCTCAGACCCAAGAGCCACGGGTTCGATCCAGTCACGGGCATGCACCTCGGCTGTGGCTGGCCCCCAGCCCTGGTCGGGGCGTGTGGGGGACAACCAGTCCACGTGTCCCTCTTAAGTCGACGTTTCTCTCCCTCTCTCTCCCCCTTCCTCCCACTCTCTCTGAAGTAAGTGGAAAACTATCCGCGGGTGAGGATTTTTTAAAACCAACACATATTTGAGTGTACTGTATTACTCACCCCTCCACCTCTTGTCCCTTTGCAGGGTCCCCTTCTTGGGCTTCTTTCCTGCCTCCAGGGGGCCCCAGCGGGGGCGGCCGGTTTCACCTCAGCACACTCGGTCACCGCGGCCGTGGGCTCGGCCGGGTCTGGACATCAGGCGGCTCTAACCGAAGCCAGGGACCCTGGGCCTGCGACACAGGGGCACGACCCGCTGTCCGCACTGATAACGTGGGTTGGCATTCTCGCTAAAAGTGTACGATCTCGGGGTCATTTAATTTTTCATATCATCCCCGAAAACAGCTGTTTCCGGTCGGGAAGTGCTCTAAACAAACCATCCCTGGAAAGACCGCACAACACTCCAGACGGGAAGTCCTGCAACCACCCCCGCTCGTCCCCAGCCCGCCAAGATCTGGGGCTCGAGTGGAATCTGGGAAAGGCCTGAATTCAGAAACGAGCCCCGTGGCCTTGTTCCGGAACGTTCCTGGCCCTAGGCTTTGTCTGAAGGACAGACCGGGGGACGAGGTGCGAGGAGAGCCATCCTCAGACGCTTTCCTCCATTAAGCTAGAGTTCTCCTGGCAGGGCTGCCGCCATTTGCAGCCTCCTCAAAGAGAAACGGAGGTGTCCTTTAAATGCCTTGCCGCCTGCCCCACTGGAGAGTCCTGGCCCTGTCTTCGGACGGAGTTTTTTCACCCAGTGCTGAGGGGGAAGCCCACTGCCATCGGAACGCCTCCCGGACCCCACCTCTCGCGGCCGGCCGGCCGACCTTCTCCCCTCAGCTTTCAGGAGCCTCGAGCCAGCCTCCCGCCCAAAGCGCTCCTCCTCCTGTGATTGGCTGTCCCAGGAGCCTTTGGCCAATGGGGATGACGTATCCTGGCAGACGGAGCCCGAGAGCTGGGGCGGAAGAAGGACGTCGGCCCCGCGACGCGCAGTGCGCGAGGGCAGCGGCGCGAGGTGTGTGGCCCAGCCGCGTGGCCTCAGGTCTTCGCGGTCACCACCTCCCAGTGCATGAGGGTGCCGGGACCGGTGGCGGCAAGAGGGCACCAGCGAAAGGGTGGCTGCAAAGCCCGTGTGGCCGTAGCTGGCGGTGAGGGTGAACCCTGAATTCCGGCCTCCGAGATCCCCGCAGTCCGTTCCCAGAAACCTTCGCGCGGAGAAGTCTCATCAGAGGAGTTGGGGGAGGGCGCCCAGCTTTGCAGGCCCTTCCCTGAAGCCCTGCTGTCTTCTCCAACCCCGATTCCTTGGTCTGGACAAGGAGAAGAACCTCAGGCGACTCACCCACCTGTGCTGCTTTTTAAAAAATAATCCTCACGTTGCGAGGCTGGACATTGAGAGGAAGCAAGGTAAGCTGGGCAGAGGACCCACGCACAGAGAGGCCGGCCGGAGCTGCTCCCGCTGCGGAGCTACTTCAGGTCGGGCCTGGGGGCAAGGCGGGAGCTAGTGGGTTGGGAAGCTTCCGCAAGGCCTCGGTTTTGGGCCCTTGCAACACCTGCCAGCCTCCATCGCCATTTCTCTGGCTGGGGTCGGAATTGAGCCTACCCTTTCTTAACTTACCTTTTCACTCTTCTTTCCTGATAGTTTGATGTTAACTCTTCGGATCCTCAGTGCCACCCGACAGAAAACTGCATGGCAGGAGAGGAACACCAGCTGTGCAGTGAGTATAAGGGGTTCAGTGCAAAAAGCTGGAACTGAAGTCACAATATCCACTTTGTTTTGGTTGGGGTAGAATGCTTACTTATCCTTGCTCCATTGTTAGCCAAGTATTCAACCAGACTGACAAACCTAAAGGCCAGATTCTTTGCCAGTTTCTAGGTGGAATCAGGCTCACTTTGGTCAAGAACGTCTGAACTAAGGGTGGCAGTGTCCTGGTTTCTGTATGGGACCTTCCCGCCAACTCCAGCAGCTTTTCCTTGACTGCACCCTCTGCTGGTTAGTGTGCTAGAGTGAGCTCAGAGAAAAGGTGAGCTAGAGTGAGCTCAAGAGACAATTACCAGAGAATTTTATACTCAGTATTGTTTCTTTTTTTTTTTTTAATCTTCACCCGAGGACATTTTTCCATTTTTTGTTCAGATAGAGTGGAAGGGGGAGAGAGAGAAACATCAACATGAAAGGGACACATCGAGTGGCTGCCACCCGCATGACCCAACCAGAGCCAGGGACAAACTGCAACCAAGGTACATGCCCTTAGTGGGAACCAAACCAGGGTCTCTCCGGACCGCAGGCTGACGCTCTAACCACTGAGCCAAACTGGCTAGGGTTCAGTATTGTTTCTTCAATGTTAAATTGAGGATTATACCTGTGGAACTCTTAAGTGTGGTGCTCAGGAAGAAAGGATAAGAGTAGCCAGCACTATAGAAATTGACTCTCAACAGTAATGTGAATGAGAAAAGTTAAAGGATGATAATAACAGCTACCATTTTGGGGGTGATAGTTATATGTGCTAGGCACTCACAGTGCTAAGCAATTTTATCTGCACAGACTCATTTAATCTTTGAAACAGCCCTAAGAATTAACTAGTTACCATTCCCATTTCATAGATGAGAAAAGTGAGCCTCAGAAGGTAGGTCATTTACCTGAAATTCAAATCTAGACTTATCTTTTAGTTCCTACATGAAACAACTATGATAGTCTTTCTTGAAGTAATATTGGCACTCAACTCATCCTATTATCTTTTAAATTTCCCTGCCACTTTAAAGATACACACACACACGAAACAAATTAGGTGTAACCGTGGTTCTGAAATGTATTCTCTTACCCACAGGAATCTGATCTAGGAAAACCTAGGTTTGTTAATAGATCAACATGTGTTCTCCTGCCAGTCCCAAAATCATATACAGGAATTCCCGGTTCCTCCGGTTGGCTTTTCTGCAGCTTTATCACCAGCAACAGAGTGGGGTGTTCTGTGATGTCCTTCTGCAGGCAGAAGGTAAGAGACTACAGCAGTTCCTCGAATAACATCATTTTGTTCAGTATTGTTTCATTATAACATTGAGAAAAATAAAATTGATTTCTGGTTGGGGACACTGTCTGTGTGGATTTTGTGCTTTCACCCCATGTCTTGATGCTACTTCCTTCCACACTCCAAAGATGTGCATGTTAGGTTAATGGGCATGTCTGAATTGGCCCAGTCTGAGTGGGTATAGGGGTGTGTTTGGAAGTACACTACAATGGAAGGGCATCCTCTCTAGGGTTGGTTCCTGCCTTGAGCCCTGAGATGCCTGATAGGCTTTGGCCACCCCACCTACAACCCTAAACTGGAATAAGCCGGTTGGAAAATAATTATCTGACTTGTTTTTATTAATTTTTCTCAAGTGTATATATACCTCACATTTATTTCAGTGTTTAACATTAGAAGTATTTTGGTTGTTCTTTATTTAGAAGTTGGGTGACACTTCTGTGACCAGAAATATGCTATAGGAACTTAACTCTTGTTTATATTAGTCTATGGTAAAATTGGTTTCTTTATAGTTATTTTGCTTCAAGTTCCAGTTTCTTTTTTCTTTAGTTTTTTTTTTCTTTATTGGTTTTTTAGAGAGAGAGGGAAAGGGGGAGAGACAGAAACATCGATGAGAGAGAACATAGATGAGAGGGAACATCAACTGGCCGCTTCCTGCTTGCCCCCCACTGGGGATCAGGCCCATAACCTGGGCATGTGCCCTGACCAGGAATCGAACCGGTGACCTCTTGGTGCCTGGGTCACCGCTTAACCACTGAGCCACACAGGCCGGGCTAGGGCTAAAGTTCCAGTTTCTAAGAACCTATCAATGACATTAAGTTAAGATTTACAGTAGTGGGGACTCAACTGAAAATTCTCATAGAATAAGATAAAATGACTTTAGGACCAGGGAGAAGAGAACATAACCAGAAAAAAATGTATAACCACCTTTGAGCACTATAAGCTATTTGGTAAAGAGCTGTTTGTTTCTAGGACAGTTGTGTTTGCAGGAGTATAAATGAGACTGTGCTCTTTTTCTCTTAAAAAATGAAACTAATTGTCCCTGGCCGGTTTGGCTCAGCGGTTAGAGCGTCGGCCTGAGGTCCAGAGAGACCCGGGTTCGGTTCCCGCTAAGGGCACGTACCTTGGTTGCAGTTTGTCCCTGGCCCCGGTTGGGGTCGTGCGGGAGCAACCAGTCGATTTGTCCCTTTCAGGTTGATGTTTCTTTGTCTCTCTCTTCCTCTCTCTCTCCCTTCCACTCTACCTGAACAAAAATGGAAAAATGTCCTCAGGTGAGGATTTAAAAAAATGAAACTAAAGTTTTTTTAAGCAGAAATTCTATAAAACTTGAATATCAAAATGGAATGGTTGTGAAGAGTGAGTTAACATATGTAAAGCACCTAGAACAGTGATTTTAATGTACTAAGCATAATGTAAGTGTTAGATGATACTATTATGTATTTCCCATTTTCTAACCAGGCTGGTGCTTTTTTTTTCCTTGTCTTCAAATTGATGGTTTTTGTTGTTTTTAGACCTAAAATGCAGGTGTTGGCAAAAGAAGGTTTACAGTTGTTCATATGGAAAAATATATAAAACACGAATAAATAATTAATACAAGAATAAACTGCCCTGGCCGGTTTTGCTCAGCGGTTAGAGCGTTAGCCTGCAGTCCAGAGAAACCCGGGTTCAGTTCCCGCTAAGGGCACGTACCTCGGTTGCAGTTTGTCCTGGGCCCTGGTTAGGTTGTGCGGGAGGCAGCCACTCGATGTGTCCCTTTCACATTGATGTTTCTCTCTGTCTCTCTCTCCCTCCCACTCTATCTGAACAAAAGTGGAAAAATGTCCTCGGACAAGGATTTAAAAAAAAAAGGTTAAGAATAAACTGTGTTTGGCTTACGCACAATTGTAAACCTACTTTCTCCCACCCCTGTATACATAGCTTCCTTCTACCCCTTCCCTTTATATTTGAAATGTTAAATCCTCATGAGGTTGAGCTTGGTATAGTCGTCCCTCGTGGTTAATCCGTTCCAGACTCTAGCAGTTGCACCTGGCATTGAAGGATTCCTGGGGTGCTCAAATACATAGGCCTACAGTCCATACGTACTGTAATTTTAATTGTAATACAAGGGTATATAATTGACTCAGACAACCAAGCGTGCGCTGTATCATTTTCACTGTCTCGATCAACTTTTTAATGAATATACTTGAAAAAACCACAATAGAGTGAAGCCGTGAAAGTCAAAGCGCAAAGTGGTGAGGGACAACTGTAGTGGGAAAGGCCCAAGACTAGAAGTCAGTTTAAGTCCTAGCATTTTACTTAGTTAACTAAGTGACAAATAGGCAAGTAACTTCATCTCTCTGGAGTTCAGCTCATTTATAAAAAAGGATTTTGACAACCAATATTGTGCAGCATTTTACAATTTACATAGTACATACACTATAGTATAGTGTCTCTTATAACTGCCTTGTGAGATAACATTATATATATGGTGAATGAATTGAGGCCCAGAGAGTTGACTTGCCTGTTAGTTCTTTAAGTAGGTGGTGTTGGAATTCATTCCTTAATTCAGAATAAACAAAAATATATCGATTATCTGTTGTATTCTACACTGCATTGGCATGGGCATACAGTATATATGAAGATAAAGTCCTTCCTCGTAAGGAAATCAGGTAAGGGGAGAAACTCAAATAACCAGTGTATTCAGGTAACTATGCAGTGTGATAAATAACATATTGGGGTAAGTATAGGCTGATACAGCAGCATCCTTTAGACTTAAGGTTGGGGGTCAGGTTTAGGGAGATTTTCTTGGAAGAAATAACCCCTTAGGGTGAGGTCTGAAGGACATACAGGAGGAGAAAGTAGGGAAAGGTTTTCCCAGGCAGAGAACAGAATTACAGAGAATTAGAGATGTGAACAGGGATTTGTGAGTGGCGTCTTATGTATGGTTAGAGTGCAGACTACAGGAAGTGTCTTGACCAGAGATACTGCTAGAGAAGTTAGCAGCGCCATGTAAAGCCTGAAGTATTATGCAAAGGACGTAGGTCTTGTCCTTAGAACATTGGGAATTGTGCCCTGGCCAATTTGGCTCAGCGGTTGGAGCATCGGCCTGCGGTCCAGAGAGACTTGGGTTTGGTTCCCGCTAAGGGCATGTACCTCGGTTGCAGTTTGTCCCCAGCCCTGGTTGGGTCGTGTGGGTAGCAACCACTCCATGTGTCCCTTTCTCATCGATGTTTCTCTCTCTTTCTCTTCCCCCCTCTCTCCCTCCAGCTCTATCTGAAGATAAATGCAAAAATGTCCTTGGGTGAGGATAAAAAAAAAACATGGGGAATTGTATTTACAAGTTTTAAGGTTGTAATCAGATACCTTTTAGAAACAGCACTCAGGCTGCATAGGAATTATTGGATTATTCAGGGGCCCAGATAGGAGGCTGTTTTGTAATCCAGGGAATGGTGGCCTTAACTAAGGCATTGTGAGTAGAGAGAAATGTCTGGCTTTTGAGCTACTAAAGAAAATTTTAAGTCCTGGCCGGTTTGGCTCAGCTGTTAGAGCGCTGGCCCGCGGACCAGAGTCATGGGTTCAACTTCGGTCAAGGGCATGTACCTCAGTTGCGGTTTGGTCCCCAGCCCTGGTTGGCATCGTGCAGGAGGCAGCCAGTTGATGTGTCTCTCACATCAGTGTTTCTCTATTTCACTTTCTCCCTCCCTCCCTCCCACTCTATCTGAAGATAAATGGAAAAATATCCTTGGGTGAGGATTTAAAAAAAAGAGAGAATTTTAAAAACTTGTTGCAGTTGAGAGTATAGACTCTGTGGCCAGAACCCTGGGTTCAAATCTTTTTGCTACTTACTAACCATATAATTGTGGGCACATTACTTAACTGTCAAAATTGACTCATCTGTAATAACAATAGCTACTTCATAGAGGTCTGGTGAAGATTAAATGAATATTGGTAAAACCCTTAGAATAATACCTGGCACATAATAAGGACTCAAAAAAGTATTCGCTTTTTTAAAATTATTGTTTGATTAGATGCTGTAGGTAAGGGAGACAGAATCAAAGATAGCTTCTAGTGCTCAGGTTTGACCAGCTGAGTGAAATATGACCTTATTTTGAAGTAAGAAACAGGTGGTTTTAGTAGGTGAGGAATGAGTTCACTTACTAGAAAGGTTCCATTGGAGGTAGTTGTGGGACACCCATGTAGACATGCAGGCTATGTCATGTTCAATATCTCAGGAAAGCTATCTGGGCAGAGGTAGGATCTGGGAGTCATCAGCAAGCCTTTGTTATTTGAAGCCATCAGAGAGACTGAGATTGCCCACAAAGTGCCCAGTAAATGAGAAGGTGGCTAGGACAGACCACTGCCTGATAGAGTTCAAAAGAGAATTTAGCTGATTGTCTCTATCTAAAGCTCATGCCCTTTCTACTAGATCACAAGCAGCTTCTATACATTTTTTTACACTCATGTGAGTCACAAGTTTATTCAAGTATTTGATCCCCTACTCTGTGTCAAGCACTGGGTATACCTTAGTGAACAAGACAGGCATGGGATCTGTCCTTGTTTAGTGAAGATGGACCATACAGATAGCTAAGTGCTATGATAGCTCCAGAATATCTTTCTGTGCCCAGGAGCACCAAACCCAGACCTGGGGTGAAGTGGGGGAAGACTTTCTGAAAGAAGTGATGTCCAAACTAGATTTTGAGTTAGCTAGGTAATAGCACGAGGTTTCAGGAAGGCAAAAGGAACAATTTTTCCTTCTACTTGAACTTCCATGGAGGGAAACTGAGAGAAAGGGCAACACGTTTGGGGTAGTAATATCTGCTTAGCTCATGAACATGCCAGTCCGTGTGAGATAACTAAGTGTTTGGGTTTCCCTCCAGGTGAGGTAGTCCCAGCCCATTGCTGTATCCTGTCTGCCTGCAGCCCCTTCTTCACAGAGCGCCTGGAGAGGGAGAAGCCAGCTCAGGGTTGTAAGGTGTTGCTGGAGCTGGGGGGCCTGAAGATCAGGACACTTAGGAAGCTGGTGGACTTCCTATATACCTCAGAGATGGAAGTATCTCTAGAAGAAGCCCAAGACGTGCTTTCTGCTGCCCGTCAGCTCCACATATCTGAGTTAGAATCCCTTCAGCTAGAGGGTGGGAAGTTGGTGAAGGCCCCTCAGGGTCGAAGACTGAACCGGGAGTGCTTACAACCTCCCAGTGCTGCACCAATCTCTGCCAGGGTGCTGGCATCCAGCCACTGCCCTAGAACTCCACCTGTTACCCAGACTCCCTGTCCCCTTGGAGCAGTGAGACTGAAGTCAGGGAAGGATGAGGGGGCCCAGGACAAGAGCAACCGACGGAATGCAGAGAACTCATCTGGCACTCTTCTGCTCAAGAGGAAGGCCAGAGCCTGCCCACCTCTGCAAGAAGAAAGCTCTTCACCATCAAGCCACAGTCAAGGATCTAAAGAGAACAAGAGTGAGCCTATCCTTGGTCCTACAGAGCTTTCCCCACCCAGTTTGTACCCCTCTGTGGATAAGCGACTCTTGCCCAGAAAGATCAGGCTGAGTCGTTCAAAGCCACCACCTGATGTCTGTACATCCAAGCCTTCCAGCATTTTAAGTGGACCCAGTTCAGTGCCATCAGCCCCTGGCCGGCGTCTTTGGCGACAGAAAAGTATAAATAAAGAAGTGCTAGAGGACAAGCATAAATCAGGGAGAGCTAGTCCTCTACAGAGCACCCAAAGCCCATCTGGTCTAGGAAAGACAGGTGGGAGTAAGAAGTGGAGCCCTGAAGTCAGGGCACCTAATTCAGACTCTGCAGAGGAGGGGCAGATTGGGAGAGTGAAACTTAGGAAGACTGTCAATGGGACCTGCTGGGAGGTGGTGCAAGAGCCTCCCCTGAAAACCTCTAAAGATAGCCCTCATATCCCAGAATCTGGAGACTCAGAAGAGCCTCCAGGGATTCAGCCATCCTCAGTTAACCAGCAGGGAATGTCATCTAGAACAGACTTGTGTCAGGACTCCCCAGTGTGCTCCAGGCTGCAAGACATTCTGCTCTCTGCTAGCCACTCCCCAGAACACCCAGTGGTGAAGTCCGAGTTTGGCTCCAGTCCAGAGCTGGTAGGGAAGGAACCTGGGTTTGATATTGACTGCAGAGAGCCATATGCATTTGACACAGCCCTGCTGGAGCAGCCCTGTGAAGCTGAGGAGTACCGAATCACAAGTGTTGCTGCCACCAGTGAGCTGGAGGAGATCCTGGACTTCATGCTATGTGGCTCAGACATTGAGCCACCTACAGTATCTCTGGAGAGTCCCGGGGCTGAGGGCTGTACGACCCCAAGTTATCACCTGACAGAAACGGGAAAGAACTGGACCGAAGGGGAAGAATGGTATTTACCAGACATGGAACTATGGCCCAGGGAGCTCACAGGATTGGAAAAAGAACCTGTTGGTGAGAACAAAGAGCCAATTGAACCCTTTTGCCCCTTTGTCATGCCCTCTAAGATTAGTGAAGGGGAGGTGCTTTCAGTAGGACACTCTTGGACTCAAGACCGAGAAATTTCCAGCTCCCAGCCACTGGATGGTCAGAGGAACAAACTTCTCCATATTGACTCCCTTGACCCTCCCCAGAGGTCCTATGGGGACCTCTCACCTCCCTCTTCTAACTGGGTGGAGACTGGGCTGGAAGTATCCCTAACTATGGAAGAGGTGTTGTATCCTGCTTCAGAACCAGGCAAGGAGGTGCTTAGCAACTCCGAGCCATTAGACCCACTTCCTGCCAGCCCTGAAGAGGAAGAGATTGATGTAGAAGACTGGACATCAGAAGGAAGGCTGGTGCCCACCAGTATTCCCTCTGTATGGCCTGACCCTTCCTCAGAGTCAGAAACAGAGGTAGACATACTAACCTAGTGGAATGGGGAAGGCAGTTTAGGGGTACTGGGAGGATGGGAAATGTTGGCTAGCAAAGGTGGTATAGGAAGACAGGCTAGCACATGTCTGTCCTCTTAGCACAAGAGGCAGGTATACTCCTTGCTCTCTGCAGGCCCCGCCTTCCCCTCCCTAGATTTTGGGAGTAGGGCAGAAGTTTAGTACCATGGGTAGAAAATTATGAACTTGAACCATCTTAGTTCCTTATAATCTACTTTCCAGTGACAGGTAGAACAATAAACTGTGTGGTCCCAACTCTGGTGGGTCATAGGTAATAGCCAAGGCCAGGTCTCCCAGGTTATGAGGCACTGCTAACTCAGGAAAAATTAAGTACACCCTTTGCAGTAGTTCTTTGTCAGAAAATGTTCCAGAAGGTGTGAAGCGGTGCTGGGCTGGAACACAAAGTAGATGGGAGGGACAGGACATTGTCTAGCACCTATGTGTGGGGCTTACTTATTCCCTGTATGAGAAGTCTAGCCAAAACCTCTGTCGGGGCCAGGAGGAAGTACTTCCATCATCACTTCCAAGAAGTGAGTTGAAAAAGATACAGTTGCTTTTTAAAAAATTACTTACTTTCCCCCCAAAATTTTACAAGTTTTCCATATGCTCTACCAGACACCCTGGGCGTTTCAGGTTCATTGGTTACTGGCTTTCATCCTTTACCATAAAATTAAGTTTTACTTTATTACTCAAGTACTTTATTTCAACTTTTATTAAACAAACCAAATCTAAGAACTTTTCAGTGTCTTACTAGAGTGTTGCCTCACAACTGAACCATCACTTCTGGAGGGGAAGAAACCGTAGCTTCAGGCACATGACTGAAGTTTGGCCATGTCCCATCATAAATGCTCCCAACATCACCAGGGATAGAAGGCTGTGAAAATGAGAGAGAGAAAAAAAAAAGTTAGAAAAGGGATCCAGGCAATCACATAGCCTGAGGAAGATATGCTCTCCCACCCCTGAACCCAAAGACTCAGGAGAGCTCAAGGATTGCATCCTCCTCCCACATCTCAATATATCAAGTGCCTAGCACATGCCAAAGCACTGCATGAAGCACTAGGGATGAAGACAAGATCAAATCCAAGTGACTAAGAGAGTACAGTAATGAAGTGTTACCACATTGGACTATTAAGAGAAAGACCCTACTAGGAACAAGTCGGGGTAAGTATATGTGAAGTTAGACAAAGACTTTGCCAATAAAAGGGGGAAATCACAACCCATACAAATAAACACGTGTCAGTGATTTTGTTTAACTCATAAAAGAGGGAACTGGTGGGATTTACAATCACTTCAAAGAATCAAACCACTTGCCATCAGGGACGTGGAAACAAATTTTTAACAAAACCGGCCCATACCCCCTGGGCAATAATTAACTGCATCTTCAAAGGCTATAAATTGCATTTCCATAGGTCATTTGTTTTAAGACTTAGCTGAAAGACGATGAAATGAAACATGGAAATAAGCAAAAGGCACACTAGACAGAAAACAGTAAAATACTTTTGCTGATTTCAGTTTTTCCTACCAGTAAAAAGGGAGAGGTATTCCCAATGGAGGAAATAACTGAGAACAGTTAAGAGTTATGAAAACAAACAAAAATGTGCCTCCTGGGTTAAATGCGGCTTAATCGTAAGGGTTGCTTTGCAAAATATCCGCATCAAAATCACCCAATCCCTCCCTTGCCCCTCGGCCCGATTTCAAACCTCGGCGTGAGACTTTCTGCCCAAACATCCCTACGAAAGGTACTTCTTCAGCTTCTCCACCACCTCTTGCGGCTCAGGGAACTTGAGTTTTCGTGGAGGTCCCTTCTTAATCCCCGTCCAGAGCTCCGCACCTGGAGAAAGACCGAATGAAGAGAGATTACTCTCTCTCCCAGCTGTATATCAGCCCTTCCTCTCCTCGGACCCATGCCCTCTCTTCTCAGACCAGGGCCCCTACTCACTACTGCCGTCCGGGCGCTGGAGCGTCACCTCGAAGCTGCCCCTCCGGGGCTTGGCAGGGTTCACCTTCACTGGAAGCTCCGGGGCCTCCATGCGCAGCGCCTGGCTCAGGGCCGCGGCGTTGCGCCCGTACACGCGTCAACTGGTGCTACGGAGAGACGGGGAGGGTCAGAGACCAGGGCCTTGGGTGTGCGACGCCCTTGTTCCCCTCCCAGTGACTCTCCAGACCCCTCACCAATGCTCGATAACAATAGTCGCCTCCTCCATTTCCTTCTGGCCACCAGCCTGCTTCTCCACCTTCTCAGCTGCTGCGACCACCGCCGTCTCGGCCTTCCGCTTCCTCCCGCGGGAAGCCATAGCACCTGGAGCCCGGGCCGGGAACCGAGCCGACCTGGGGCGGAAACAGGGTGCAGACACGGCCACTGGGCGGCCACGAGGAAACAGACAGCCCCTCTCAGAGTTCCAAACTGCAGGCCAAAGGCTCCGCTCCCAGAACAAAACCTCTCCCAAGCAGCGGAAAGCGTGGCGCGGCCACACGTAATGGGGAGGCGGGACCTTCGGGCACAGCCAATGGGCACACAGGCTCGGGGTGACCCGGGAAGCATCAGATTTACCTGCGCCTGAGGGCAGACACAGCAGGGGCGGGGACTAGGTAGCTCTAAACTCAAGCGAGGTTTCAGGTTTTTCTGTAACCACAGGACCGGGTAAGTAGTGTTCATGGTGAACTCGACCCCCAGCCCTCAAAACCTCCTCTCTGGGACCCGGGCCCAATCCGGGGCCAATTCTACAATCTAATACGATGTGATCGGTACTCTGGATTTACGGAAACGGGCCTTCCCCAACACTCCCCAATCCTAGGTACCAATGACTGGCATTTGGTGAAACTAATGAAAATGGCCTTTGAAGTCACCAAGAAGTTAGGCAATTCCTTTGTGGTTGCCTGGCTTTTTACACACTTAAGGAACAGACAGGAGGCGCAATCAAAAGAAAATCCCAGTCTCTTTATTATGTAAAACCGTCAACTGGGTGTGGGAGAGCAGGTAGGAGGGTAAGTGAAATCCCAATCCTGCCCACGGGCTTTCTCCTCCAGGCCCCACCTCACAGCGGAAGGTCTCAAACTTCTATCTTCCTTCCTCCCAACCTCCATAAAATAGATTATCGAATACTATCTTCAGTGAGAAAACTGTGGTTAAAGGTTTATTCTTGGAACCAGTGACAGTTAGGTGTATTTTTAATGAAGGCCACAGGTCAAGCCAGAAGGACCTAAAGAAGCAAGGGTCCTTGAGGGAAATTTTTTAGTGCATACTCTATACCCCGGCATCTTGTTAGGGGTTCAATCTACTGTAAGTAGACTGCGTAGGTCCACTAAAGAATATCGAAACCACAGCATGGTGGAGATGTATGAGTGGTGGGCAGCACTTGACACACTGACCCAAGCTTGAAGGGAAAAGCATTTCTTCCTCCATTACAGGAGATCTCTCCCTTCCTCCAGTGAAATAGTTGGCCACAGGAGTGGTCTTCCTGGAGTGTGCCTGTCGATTCTCTGGATGCTTCTTTAAAATCAGAAGCAGCACCCTGCCCCACCCAGGCACAGCCAAACAAGGATAACATAAATAAAAGGCGAGGTTCCAGAAAGGCTGTAGTTACAGATGAGGCCGAGCTTCAAAGGTGTCTGGGATTGACAGAGAGGAAGCACTAACAAAGCAGAGGACCTATTTGTTCTTCTTGCTTTCCCCATCTGGCACTGCTGTGGGTGTTGGGGCCACAAACTGCTCTTCAGGGATATTATCTCCAGCCTTCCATTGCTTCTTGGCCCTTTGATACAGTTCATTCAAGCTGAATTCTCGGATCACATTCTCCTGCACAAGAAAGATGTATACGTGAGGGTTGGGAGGGGGAATTCAGAACCTGCGAAGTAATAAGTATTTAGGCACAGCTTAGGAAAAAAGGAAGCAAAGGACAGAAATCTACTCTAACCTAAATCTTTTTTATGGGTACCTGAAAAGTCAACTAATGTTTAACTACCTATTATGTGCCAATCACTGTGCCAAGAATTATAGCGACACTATTTAATGTAATCTGCAAAACAACGCCATGAGCCAAGTGTTACTGTCTCCAATTTACTGCTAAGAAACCTAGGGCTACAGTAAGACTGAATCTTAACTAATAATTCCCCAGTACTAGCAGGTCTGGCACATGGTAGAAACATAACATAAATCTGCTGAGTGAATTCATGAATGAGGTCTAATAATTAGTCCATACTCTCAAAGCTTGTGGGCAAATGGCAGAGCTAGGAATCGAACCCAGGTTGGCTCCAAAGCCCACCCACTGTTCCATATGCTTCTCCAAACCACTTGCATACTCTTTCTTGTACCTCAGAGAAAGTCCAAGAGACAGCTCGTCCTTTCTTGTCAATCTGTGGCCGCCGCATGACTTCCTTGCCACCTTGAAACAGGATCAGGGTAGGAAGCTGCTTGGTGAGGGGGGATGTGCTCACTTTGTACCTATAGGGCCCACAAAGTACTCTGTAAATGCATCTGTATACATCACTCAAAGTAATTCCCTGTTTAGACCCTCAACCAGGCCTTTACATACCGTGTACTAACATCAGTGTAGCGTCCAATGTCCACCTTCCCAAAATTTAGCCCTGTACAGTTGTACCTGAGAAGAACATATTTTTTAACATAGTATAATAAGAGAATGTGGAAGTATAGCTATTGGAGGGAATGCCTTTGGTTGTAATGTGCAAAAATCAAAGCCAAAAATAATGAGAGAAGGTACAGTCTCTCAATTCCCATCATCCTTCCTTTTGCACCACTTACTTCAGGGAGAGGTCAGCATAGATTGGAGCAAATGATTGGCAATCATTAGACCAATTGGCAAAGAACTCCACAATCCAAGTGACCCTCTTGTCTCGCTCCAGCTCTTCCTGCCACACACAGGGAGGAAACAGTGAGCTGGATCATACAGGTTCCTAGAAAAGTTTAGACCTTAGCATCTAACTCCTCATCAGGGCTTCCCCTCTCCGCCTCCCTTAGCTCCCATGATAAATGAACCACAGTGCCCTTGACTTCTGTTCTGAAGCATGGTTGCTCCTCCTTGTGAGTAGGGTTTACAACTACACAAGGGACCCAAGAAACTAGAGAGAAGATGAACACTCACATCAATGGTTTTGTCATTGAAGTACTTGATGTACTCAGGGCCCATGTACAGGGGAGGTTTGCATGTCATCAGGAACACTAAACACAGAAAAAAGATGTCAGAGGAAACACATAAGGCCTTGGGAAAGGATTTACTTTCAAACCAGACTTCAAGCACCAAAGAACATACTTTGTGAGCATATACAGACCACTGACATATTCCCTTCCTCTTAAAGGCTCTGTAGATTCTTATTGTCTGAGCTACACACATAATTAGGAAAACATATGGAAGAAGACTATGGAGAAACTGGTTTGGATTTGGTTCCCACAACCAAGTCTTGTAGTCTCCTTACCTATGCAGAGTATGATGTAAAGCAGGCCCATGCGAATATCCAGGCGGAAGAAAAGAATTGCATTGGCCACTTTACTGAACATGAAGATGTTGCCTATATGTTGCTCCACAGTGACTGAAACACAAAGATTTCACAGGTCAGGCTGACTGTATGCTCCTATATCCCATTCTTTGTCCCTCTTCCTGGAGTACTTTGAATTGGGGGGGGGGGGGGGATAAAGTCCAAGATCAAATTCAGCATTGGCATGGAATGAGAGACGAGTACAGTAAATAATGCCCCTCTCATAACAGGAATGAAAACACCTCTGGAGGGTGTTAGGCCTACCCCTGTGAGACAGAGAAACAGGCTCAACTTACTGGACCTACGGTTCTTCATCATCACGATGGCACTGAGAAACATCAGGATCTCTACTTCTCTCTGCAACAGAATCAAAGTAGTAGAAATGCCATCAGCAGAGATAATTTGGGTGGGTAGGGGAACTAAATATGGAACAAAAACTAACAGCGATCCAAATGGGGGAAGGTAATAATAAATAACTGGAAGTCGGCTAAGGTGTAGTGGGAAAAATACTAGTCAGAAGATCTAGATTCAAGTTCTACCCCTGCCACAACCTGGCTGGTGCCTTTCAGCAAATCAACTGCTAAGCTTCAGTTTGTTCCACTGAATAACATCTATTTCAAAATGCTATAGTGAAGGTTAAATAATAATGGGTACAAAAGAGTTGTATAAAGTATGATATGGTGTAAAATTGTGAGAAATTACAACCAACTCTGTGACCCTGAGAAAATAAAATTTTTCCAGGGAAACTTTCTCAGTAATATTCTATTCATACAATATATGGTTATTTCATTTGTTTGGTTTTGTTTAAGTTAAATCATTCCTCTTTACCCAATATTCATAGGGATAATCCATGTGCCTTTAACATAACTTGAGAGCTGAAGGAGGCGTTTGTTTCAGACCTCTCACAAGCCCTTTTCAGTATCGCTGGTTTAGGGTTCTTTCTCACATTCTAGAATGTAAGCTCCACGTGAGCAAAGTAAGACAGAAAATAAACATGACAAAGAAACAAAATAATGTGAAAGAGTAAAAACTGCAATGACGAATAACAAGGATCATGTGAAAGAAAGCAAGGAAGGAGGGCAACTATAAATTGGATGGTCTGAGACCTTCCATACCTTTCTGTTTAAAATACAAGGGCCAAATCATTACGTTAGACAGAACCAATCAACTGTGATTTACAGCTAGGAATCAGGGACCTAGGTTTTAGCCTCAATTTCCAACAAAAAGTAACTTGCTGGATTTAGAAATGGCCACGTAAAGTGGGGGTTAGGGAAGATGACAAGACTTATTAAATGAAACTGGGTTAGAACTGAGACTTGCAATTGTGGAAAGATGGATTTAAAAAGGGAACTATGGTCAACCAAGAGACCAAAGATAGGACTTCCAGTCAAGATGGCAGCACAGGTAAGCGCGGTATCGTGTCCTCCCACAACCACATCTACGTTACAACTAAACTACAGAACAACCATCATTCAAAACTGCCTGAAATCAAGCTGAATGGAAGTCCTACAACTATGGAATTAAAGAAGCAACCACATCAAGTCTAGTAGGAGGGGCAGAGGCGCAAGGGGCTGGCCCCACACCCAGGTGTGGCGGATAAAAATCAGGAGGACAGCCCTGGCCGGTTTGGCTCAGCGGTTAGAGCGTCGCCTGCGGTCCTGAGAGACCCGGGTTCGGTTCCCGCTAAGGGCGCGTACCTCGGTTGCAGTTTGTCCCCGGCCCTGGTCGGTTGTGCAGGTGGCAGCCACTCGATGTGTCCCTTTCACGTCATGTTTCTCTCTCTCTCTCTCTGTTCCTCTCTCTCCCTCCCACTCTACCTGAACAAAAAATGGAAAAATGTCCTCGGGTGAGGATAAAAAAAAAAAAATCAGGAGGACACCTCGGCTGGGAAGGTCCTCCCTGATGACTGAGGGGTCCCTGTCCCACACCAGGCGCCCCACTCAGGGTTTCAGTGCTGGGACGAGAAGTCCGCATAACTTCTGGCTGGAAAACCAGCAGGAACTGAGGCTCAGGGAGGCTGAGGCGGCTGGAGCCCCAGGCAGCTCCTTAAAGGGCCCGCGCACGGACTTATCGGACTCTCTCCCTCTAAGCCTGGAGGGGAGGCAGCTCGAGGGGCGCCAGAGACACACAGGGAAGAACTGAGCTGTTTGGCACTGGACCAAGGGCTGGAGAGGGGACTTTCTCCAGGACAGACATGCAATCAGAGGACTTTGTTCCTTTTGGTGAGCCCTTCCCTCAGGAGGCTGGCAGACAGCCGCCATATCTGGGACTCCAGCACCTGACTGGTTGCCCCGCCCTGGTGATTCCCAGAGGCCCCTGCCCCATCCAACTTTCAGGCCCACCCAGTTGCTTAACCATAGGACTGGCCTGTATTGGATCCTGCTTTAGGTTTTCCTAAATTCTTTCAAAGAAGCAGCATCTGGTCTCAGCTAGCTCCATACCTCGCGTTAAGTAATACATAGAAACAAACACAGGGAGGCAGCCAAAATGAGGAGACAAAGAAACAGGTCACAAATGAAAGAACAGAACAAAATCCCAGGAAAAGAACTAAGCAAAATGGAGATAAGCAACCTAACAGATGCTGAGTTCAAAATACTGCTTATAAGGATGCTCAATGAATTTAGTGAGAATCTCAGCGAACTTAGTGAGGGCCTCAAGAACATAAAAAAGGACCAGTCAGAAATGAAGGATACAGTGAGAAATGAAGGAGGCACCAACTAAAATAAAGAATACTTTACACAGATTCAATAGTAGAGTAGATAAAGCCAAGAAGCAAACCATCGATTTGGAATATAAGGAAGCAAAAACACCCAATCAGAACAGCAAAAAGAAAAAAAGAAGCCAAAAAAATGAGGAGAGTGTAAGAAGCCTCTGGGACAAGTTGAAGCGTGCCAACATTCACATCTTGGGGGTGCCAGAAGGAGAGGAGAGAGAACAGGAAATTGAAAACCTATTTGAAACAATAATGGCAGAAAACTTCCCTAACTTGGAGAAGGAAACAGACATACAAATCCAGGAAGCACAGAGAATCCCAAACAAGATGAACCCCAAGAGGCCCACACCAAGACACATCATCATCAAAATGCAAAAGGTTTAAGACAAAGAGAGATTCTTAAAAGCAGCAAGAGAAAAGCATTTAGTTACCTACAAGGGAGCCCCCATAAAATCATCAGCTGATTTCTCAAAAGAAACTTTGCAGGCCAGAAGGGAGTGGCAAGAAATATTCAGAGTGATGAAAACCAAGAACCTACAACCAAGATTACTCTATCTTGCAAAGCTGTCATTTAGAATCGATGGCCATAAAAAGAGTTTCACAGACAAGGAAAAGCTAAAGGAGTTCATCACCACCAAACCATTATTATATGAAATGTTGAAGGGTCTTTTTGAAGAAAAAGATAAAATATATGAACAAACAAAATGGCAATGAATACATATCTATCAACAATTGAATCTACAAATAAAATGAACAAGCAGAACAGAAACATTCTCATAGATATAGAGAACATTTTGTTGGTTGCTAGATGGGAGGGGGTTTGGGGGAATGGGTAAAAAAAGTGAAGGAATTAATAAGTACAAATTGGTTGCTAGACTGACAAATCTCAAAGGGAAGGGGGACTGGGTGTGGGAAGAAATAAACCAAAGAACTTATATGCATATATGCACAACCAATGGACACAGACATCAGTGTGAGAAAAAGCAGGAGGGGGGCAGGAGTGGGGAAGAGGGGGTCAGTGGGGGGAAAATGAGGAACATCTGTAATATATTCAACAATAAAGATAAAAAAATAAAATTTAAATTTAAAAATTAAAAAAAAAAAAAGAGCCCTAGCCAGTTTGGCTCAGCAGTTGAGCGTAAAAAGAGAGAGAAAGATAGGACTAAAAGAAACACTCTGTCTTTAGACCAAAGACTAGCTATGTATATGCCAAACCTTATTTCCCTTTCTTCCTGGGCATGCTGCAGCTAGACTCACAGTCTCCTTGCATCTAGGTAGAACTGTGTGACTAGCACTCCTGAATGGACTATGCGTGGAAGGGATGTGCCACTGCTGCACAGGCAGTAAGAAAAGGTGTGTCCTTGCTTTCCAGGTTTCTTTCATCTACTGGTTGGCTGATGCTGAGATGACCCTTAAGGTGTATGTTAAGACAATGTGAGACTGGATTCCAGACTAACCATATTAAGCAGAGCCCTTTTGATTGTTCTACTTGTTTGTTCATTGTTTTGTTTTGTTTTTCCTTCTTTTTTCTTTTTTATTAACTAATTAATTTTTGTTACAGATGTTTCTCCTTTTCCCCCACTGATTCCCCCCTCTCCCTCCCTCCCTGCCCTGTCCCCAGCTTTGTTGTCCATGTCCATTGTTCATGCATACATGCATATAAGTTCTGTGGTTTATCTCTCCCCCACCACCCCCTCTTCTGGGGATTGTCAGTCTGTACCCCACTTCCACGTCTCTGGGACTACCCCATTCCTCAGACTGTTATGTTCATTATATTCCACAAATAAGTCAGATCATATGATACTTGTCTTTCTCTGTTTGGCTTGTTTCGCTTAGGATAGTACTTTCTAGGTCCCTCCATGTAGTCTCAAAGGATAAGAGATCTTTCTTTCTTACAGCTGCGTAGTACTCCATTGTGTATATGTACCACAGCTTTTTTATCCATCGTCTACTGATGGACACTTGGGCTGTTTCCAGATATTAGCTATTGTAAATAGTGCTGCTACAAACATGGGGGTACATATATTCTTTCTGATTGGTGTTTCAGGCTTTTGGGGGTATATTCCTAGAAGTGGGATCACTGGGTCAAATGGAAGTTCAATTTTTAATTTTTTGAGGTAACACCATATTGTTTTCCATAGTGGCTGCACCAGTCTGCATTCCCACCAGCAGTGTACTAGAGTCCCCTTTTCTCCACACCCTCGCCAACACTTGTTGTTTGATGATTTGTTGATGAAGTGTTCATTGTTTTTAAACTTTTTTTTATTATTATGGGCATTTTTAAACATACATAAGTTGAGAGGATACTGAAGGGTAGCAGAATATGCCACCCCAAAATATGCCACTTTGGCAGAAGGATTATTTTGAGCTTGAAGGCAATTGAGAAGTAGATACAAAAAAAAAAGACCCCCACCCATTTGTTTAAAAGCCGGACTTAATGTTTCAAAGCTGTCCCTCTAACCCACTATACCAAGATGGACAAAAGTTAATCAAGGGAGATAACTTTAGACCCTGTCAGCCTGAAGACAGCATGAGAGGAATCTATACAAACTAGACTTTATATAACATTAGTGTACCTTCCCACAGTTTGCTACCCTTGGAAACCTAAAACTCTTTCCTTTGTCTAGTCATTTCTCCACAATTT